GTGCAGCAATATCCCACGTACCCTTCACTCAGCTTTCCTCAGTGGTAACATCTTATATAGCTGTAGTACAGTATTGAAACCATGAGCGCAATCTAGAGACCTTATTCAGATTGCAAGTTTTACATGCGCTAGTTTCTGTGTGCATGTGTGGGTGTGTGTGTAGTTCTATACAATTTCATCATATGCACAGATTTGTGTAGCCACCACTGCAGTCAAGATGTGGAACTGTTCCTTCACTACAAAGGAGCTCACTTGGGCTGCACCTTCTACAGTCATTGCTGTACCTTTCTAGTCTCTATCCCTAACCTCTGGTAAATGCTAATGTACTAACCTGTTCTCTATCTCTATAATTTTGTTTTGTAAATAGATCATAGTAGTAGGTACCCTTTGCAGTTGGCTTTTGTTCATTCAACATAATGCCCTTAAGATCCATCCAAGTCATTGCACGTATCAATAATTATTTCCTTTTTTTCTCTTTTTTCTGTGTCTAATTCCAGATTAAATTCACATTATTTTCTTTTTATGCTGAGTAGTATTCAGTGGTCTGATGTACCATATTTTCTTTAATCGTTCTCCTATTGAAGGACATTTGGGTTGTTTCCCGTTTTGAACTACTACGCAAAAAGCTGCTCTGAAAATTTGTACACGGGGTTTTGTGTGGACACAAATTTTCATTTCCCTGGGATAAATACCCGGGAGTACAATTCCTAGGTCATATGGTAATTATGTGTTTGATTTTTTTTTTTTGTAAGAAACTGCCATACTGATTTCCAGAGTGGCTGTACCATTTTACATTCCCAATAGCAATGTGTGAGAAATCCAGTTTCTTTGCATCTCACCAGCATTTGGTGTTGTCAGTATTTTTTTTTTGCTAGCTGTTTTAATAGATGTGAAATGATACCTCATTGTGGTCTTAATTTGCATTTCTGTAATGCCTGCTGATGTTGGACATCTTCCCATGTGCTTGTTTGCCAGCTCTATGGCCTTTGTGGTGAAATGTCTTTTTATATCATTTGTCCATTTTCTAATTGTATTGTTTGTTTGCTTTTTTAACTGTTGAGCTTTGAGATTTCTTTGTATATTCTAGATGCAAGTCCTTTGTCAGATACGTGGTTTATAAATATTCTTTCACAATTTCTACATCACTGAATGGCTTCTCTTTTTTCCCTGAGTATATAAACTACTTTATAAATTGCCTCAGGGGCGTTGTTTCCAGGTCTTACCCTGCTTGAAAGAATTGTTTTTGCTTTTGCTTTTCATCTTTTAATGTCTACAATACAACCTTTGACGCCTTTCCCTCTAATTTAAAATATTTGTGGTCCTTATGAATGTTATAATGCTGATGAGGATTGAATTTCTTGAATGTTGATATTGCAGTATCACAAAGCAAGCAAATCATCTTATCTTTAGCAGAAACAAGATAATATTGCAATTCCCAATCTCGTTAAAAAAATCTATTTTCTTCAGCGTTCTCTCGGTCTTCTTTGACATAATGGACTGTTGGGCAGGCAGAATTAAAATATACCGTGGAGTTGGGCAACTATTCACAAATTCCACTTCAAACAGAAACACGGTGCACTGTTGTCAAAAGCTGATAACAGACTGGCTTTCTCAACCCCCATAAACTCGCCAGCCAGCCTGGTGTGGTGGTGGCGCCAGTCAGGCTGGGGAAGTTAGAACTAAGAGTGCAGCAGCCGTCAATTTAGCCCTTATGGCTTACTAATGTTCTAGTTGTGCCAGTCAATCTAGGAGGATTATTTTGTGGAAACTTACTTTATTCTTTGGCATTTTAAATACATTCATTTTAAACATTAAATACAACTATAAAAGATGAACAAAAATGTATTAATAGACATGAAAAGAGTTGTTCTATAAAATTTGGATTCAGTCAAAAGGCTACACTTAAGGATCTAAGGCTGCAGGTTGCCCAGCCCCTGCTTATACCAAGTGTAATTGTTTCAGTTTCCTCTTCCTCCATAACATAAATGTTGCAGTTGAAACTATGAATTTACTATGAATACAAGAATTCAGAAAAAATTTACATAGGCATTCTATGAGAATCAATTGGCTACATGGAATTTACCATAAAGAGTATTGTGTATTTCATTATATTTGTAAATTATGTTTTACAAACCTTCGTATCAGCAATATTTGAACTAAACGTATATTCTTGTGTATACGTATACCTAGTTGTTTCGGGAGCCAGTGGCTAAATACTTAGCAGCACATTGCTGATGTTGCCCTGTTACTCTCCAGAAAGGCTGAGTTTGCACTCGCATCAGTGGTGTGTGAGAATTCCTCTTTCCTTGTACCAACACAAGATACTCTCTCTCCTTGTCTTATCTTTTGTCAATATATGCAAAACACAATGCAGTCTCAGTTTGCTTTTAGTGTATTTGATGGCCATTTTTACTTCTCCCTTGGGGCATTGCCCATTTTTTTCTTTGGGTGTTTTTTTTTTTAATTACTGATTTGTGGATACTCTATATTAAAGGGTTAAGCCATTGCTTGTCATGTGTTGCAAGTATTTTTCTCCAGTTTTTAACTTGCCTTTCACTTTTGTTTATAGTGTCATGTTTTGTCATATGGAAATTTTAATAGATTTAAGTTCTTTATCAATAGGCTGAAATATACCAATGTTTTGTTTTCTACCTGAAATATTTATTTCCTGAAAAGAAACAGGTCTTATTCCAGGATTATAAAAATATCCACTTATGTTTCTTAGTATTATTAATGCAGTTAGTACCTGTGAGAATGTGAGCTCCACGAGAGAAAGGGTCTTTGCCTGGCATATGGCAGGCAGTCAGCATACTTAGTGAATAAATGGATTGAAAACTCTTACAAATCTCCAGTTTATTCAGTATATATTAAGTATCCATTCCACAGGTAGCAGTAGTACTAGTAATTTTATCACAGAAGATGTGACATGTTTGTTATTCCCTAAATGTCATGCAAAAAATATTTGTGGAATATTGTACTGGTGAAGGAATGATCTCATATAAGTAAAATTAGAAAACTATAGTTTTCAAGTGTTTTTGTTTATGCTCCTGAATAAATTTTTAGCAGTGAATACTTATATGAAATTTACATGAAGTCTTAATTTTAAGACCTGACAGTTATTTGGATAGCTAATTTGTTTCTCCGATGTCTTTTATGTTGCTGCCAGTTTACGTTATCCAAATGCATAGATGCCGTGATGGTGCTGGGAAACTCCCATTTATTCATGAACCGTTCCAACAAACTCGCTGTGATAGCGAGTCACATTCAAGAAAGGTACGACCGTTATGATTATTTTTTCTGTTTAGCGCTGAACATTCATGAGTTTTCTGTGCCAGTTGGCATGTATTGTTCCTACTCCATGTTGCAAAAGAAAATTTTTTTCTATACCAGTGAGCAACAGATACAGCATCAAGAACCGGTACATGTACATTTTGATTCTACTAATATCGAAAACTTCATTAGTTGATAGATAGTAGAGTTGTACAGTGGCACAGATAATTTACACAGATTGAACTATATTGTCTAGGCAAAATAGGAGAAAGAACTATCAAATCGGGCAGGTTCTTCCTCATACCTGTCTTTTTAATATGTGTCTCCCCTAGAGGGCAGGTAAGACGGGAGGTGTGATTCCGTTTTCCCTTCAGCGAGTCTGGGCTCTGCTTACCTTTCAGGGTGTGAAAGCAGCTGTTTTGCTGCTCTATGAGTGATTCTGGTGTTTAGAAATGAGGATTTTTCTTATAACGTTGGCTTCAAAACCCAAGCCAACTATTCCATCTGGTGCTTGACTGAGGAAACAATGATCTTTTCTAATATTGGGGTAGAAACTGGCTGTGTTAGACTCACTGCAAGATGGTGCCATTAGCCTGCAGCCGCTGTGTAAATATGGCTACATATATGGCAAGAGTTTTCATGAATAATTTTGACCATATTTACTTGTCACGTTATGCACCGAATGTAGAATTGAATCCTCATGTAAAATATGGTTCTTCCACGTCTTGACTGTCACATCACGTGACTCTTGCTTGCCAACATATTTTATCTGAGATTAGTGGCTACTTCTCAGATTTTCTTGGTTCTTAGGGCTGCTTCCTCTGGAGGACGGAAGAGCCACAGGCCACCAGGCATATGCACCTACTCCCATCCTCACTCTACATTTTTCTCAGAACTGGGTCAAAAAGATGATGCTAGTTTGGTTAAGATACCAGTAAAAGCTATAACAGCCAGACTTTTCTTTTCTTCCTTTCTTTTTCTTTAAATCAAAAGTATCCTCTGTGTGATTACCTTAAGAATCAGGAAGCACAAAGAGAATCTTTTTTTTTTTTTGAGACAGAGTCTCACTGTGTTGCCCTGGCTAGAGTGCCGTGGCGTCATCCTAGCTCACAGCAACCTCAAACTCCTGGGCTCAAGTGATCCTCCTGCCTCAGCCTTCCGAGTAGCTGGGACTACAGGCACGCGCCACCATGCCCGGCTAATTTTTTCTATATATTTTTAGTTGTCCAATTAATTTCTTTCTATTTTTAGTAGATATGGGGTCTCGCTCTTGCTCAGGCTGGTTTCGAACTCCTGAGCTCAAACAATCCGCTCGCCTTGGCCTCCCAGAGAGCTAGGATTACAGGCGTGAGCCACCGCGCCCGGCCCACAAAGAGAATCTTTTCAGGGACCCTCGGACCAGATTTTTGTTACTGGAGTAGATAATACATACCTCAAATAGTAAACTAGCAGTAAATTACAATTTGGTAGGAATCTCTCCTGATTGTCATCTGAGAAAGGAAAGCATGGGGAACCACCCTGAAACATTTCAGGAGACTATAACCCAATACCCTCTTTATTTCCATTCATTGTTCCGAAAACACTGGAACCATTAAAATGTGTGGTGGTAGATGAATGTTTGCCAATTTGCCTATTTTATACATTTTTTAAAAATGAAGTTTATTGTAGAATCTTATGAGTCCAAAATTGGCGTGATTTTGTTTTCTCTGCTGAATTTCATTCTGATCACGAGTAAGAGCTTGGGCAGTGCGTCCTGGTGTAACTAGATTTTTTTCCTCTGCTGTTTCAGTCGATTTTTATATCCTGGAAAGAATGGCAGACTTGGAGACTTCTTCGGAGACCCTGGCAACCCTCCACCTGAATTTAATCCCTCAGGGAGTAAAGATGGAAAATATGAGCTGTTAACAGCAGCAAATGAAGTTATTGTTGAAGAGATTAAAGATCTAATGACCAAGGGTAACAGCTTTTTAAAAAATTATTGTTATTTTGCAAATGGAGTTGATTTTGGTAGTGTTTGACGCATAAAGTTTATGAAGTTCAAAGATTCGTACCTCTCGATACTATCTACTTGCACACTTTTTCTCTTTTCTTTTTAAGAATCATTTTCATCAAAGTCTGTATAATTTGCCTCACCTCTACTATAGCATTTGACACTGTTGACCAGCCTTTACTAGTTTTTTTTGGTGTTTTTGTTTTTGAGACAGGGACTTTTGCTTTGTCGACCACACTAGAGTGCAGTGGCTTGATCACATAGCTCACAGCATCTTCAAACTCCTGGGCTCAAAGGATCATCCTGCCTCAGCCTCCCAAGTAGCTGGGGACTACTGGTGCTCACTACCGCAGCCAGCTAATTTTTTTCCTTTTTTCTTAGAGGTAGGATCTCACTATGTTGCCCAGGCTGATCTCGAACTCCTAGGCTCAAATGATCCTCCTGCCTCAACCTCCTGAGTAGTTGGGACTATAGGTGCAAGCCACTGTGCCTGGCTACTTCTTTTTTGTGTGTGTGTGTGAGACAGGTCTCACTCTGTTGCCTGGGCTAGAGTACAGTGTTATCAGCATAGCTCACTGAAACCTCAAACTCCTGGGCTCAAGTGATCTTCCTGCCTCAGCCTCTTGAGTAGCTTGGACTCAAGGCATAAGCTGCCACGCCTGGCTAATTTTTCTATTTTTTGTAGGGACAGGGTCTTGCTGTATTGCTCAGGCTGGTCTCAAACTCCTGGCCTCAAGGGATCCTCCCACCTAGGCCTCCCAAAGTGTTGGAATTACAGGTGTGAGCCAGCCTTTACTTCCTGAAAGATACTTTTTGGCTTCTAAGGATATCGTGTTGACCTGTTTTTCCTCTTTTTTGAACCATTTCTTAGTCTCCATTTGTAACTTTTCCTTTATCTTGTCCCTTAAAGTATTTATTTTTATTTTCTTCTTTTCTCTCTGTTTTCATCCAGTTTTGTCTTTAACAATCATTTATATGTGAATACTTCCCAATTTTTGTCTCTAACCCAGGATTTCTTTTAAGCTCAAACTTCTCCATTTAAGTGCCCCACTGTTTCCTTAGCATGGCCCAGACCAGCTTCGTTATCTTTGCCTTCAATTACGCCAGAATTTCCGTTCCCTATTTCTGTCACCCTCATCCACCTAGTTTTCCACATTTAAAGCTTTCACTTTTGACTGCTTTCCTCTCACATCTAACATCTAATTCGATATGAAATCCCAGTAGTCTAGCCTCAGAAGTATCTCCAGAATCTGACCCCTTGCTATCTAAATCAACCTCAGCACGGTTGACATTTGGGGCTAGACAACTCTTTGCTGTAGGGACTGTCCTGTGCATTGTAGAATACTTAGCAGCATCCCTGGCCTTGACCCACTAGATGCCATAACACCCCCCAGTCGCAACAAGCAAATATGCCTTCAGACGTTGCCAAATGTCCCCTGCAGGGCACAATAGCCCAGGTTTGGAGCCCCTGCTCCAGATGATTGCAATGCTTCCTCTAAGAATGCTTTGGTTCGAAAGCATACTTAGTTCAAGAAAGTACTAAATGATTTTAGTTCAAGAAAGTACTTAGAAATTCCCTTTTTAATGTTTTTCTGTTATTTGTAGGTGACATAAAGGGTCAACATACAGAAACTCTGCTGGCAGGATCCCTGGCCAAAGCCCTTTGCTGTATCCTTGGTGTCTGAATGATACAGAAGGTGCCTTCTGTAATAGACATATCTTAACTTGTGACATTTCTTAGAATCTTGAGTATCCATTAATAGGAGGCATGAGTATAATAAGGTGGTAGATAATAAAAAAACAGTTGATCTTGGCTTTGAAATGTTTTTAAGGCAGCCGTAAAAACTTGAGGTGGGAAGAATGAGAAAACTCCAGTGTCTGCAGTATGTCCTTCTCCTTGCACCCTTGCCTCCTCAGGATGCTTCCTTGTTTCTTATTTTGACAAATTGGGGATTTATCAAAATAAGAGATGGGAGTTGGGAACGGTGTTTGATTTTAAAAGCTGTTTACTGACCCTGAAGCTTAATAAATGAGTGGCTGCTTCTCTACAGGCAAACAGGTTATTTTGTACTTAGCGTAGGGCAGTAGCACCTTTCTAAGCATTTTCAATTTTATCTGTTTGTGTGATGTTCTCTCAGTCTTATGTAATGAAAAAATTCTTTTGGACAATATGGAATGATTCATTTGTTCCAGACTCTGATTTGGGTTGTCTGATTGTCTTTGTATGGTTTTTAAATTTGTTACCACAGTTGATTGGCTTATTGATTTACTTGTGGTCCTAGTATTCAAATCTAGGACATGGTAGATAATAATAGGACAGTGAGATAGTGGTAGTTTTAATCTTCTGAGACAAAGATCATGTTTTGATCAGGTTACAGAGCCCAGTTGATTGCAGAGTTAGTAATTGAAAACCCCCAGTCATTCTAGTGTATCTATCTATCACAGTAAGTAGAGCATTTCCTTTTTTAGCGAGGTGGATGCTGGGTTTATTCAACTAAAAATCGAGGTTATTTTTGTGTTCATTATGAATATTTATGAAATTAAATAATATTTTTGTATTCCTTAATGCTAAGAAATTAAGACATTCACAGAATGAACAAAGAAGTCAAAGGTAGGAGCTTGTGTTTTTCTGTGAGAACGGTAATCCTACCTGATTTACTACTATGTGTTTAGTGGACTGCTTAGAAATTGGTTAGGAAACCATGTATGTTTAGTAAGATTCAGTTATATTATAATCTGTTTTTATCTTTTTATAGATAATCAGGAAATGAAATCAAGGATATTGGTAAGATTTGAAAAATCAATACTGTGTTTACATTTAACTATAGACAATTGGAAAACAATGGGAAATAAGACCCATTTATAATAGATGCAAAAAATGATAAGTATTCAGAATTAATAAGCAATGTGTAAAACTGATTAGGAAGAAAAACTAAAATTCTGAGAGAAATAAAAGAACTGAATAAATAGAGGGCCATCTTTTATTCTTGGATGTCAGTTTTTCCAAAGTCACACTGTAAATTCAATGCAATCTCAGTTAGAATATCAATAAGGTTTTTTTTTTTTTCCTCCCTGGCAGGGTAGAAAGATTTAAGAAAGAAACTCAACAGTTTATCTGGAAGAATAAATCAAAGAGAATAGCCAGGAACTTTCTGAAAGGGAATAATAAGTAGTAACTTGCTCTGTTAGTCATTAAAACACATTATAGGCTGGGCGTGGTGGCTCATGTCTGTAATTCTAGCACTTTGGGAGGCCAAAGTGGGAGGATTGCTTGAGCCCAAGGAGTTCGAGGCTGCAATGAGCTATGATTGTGCCACTGCACTCTAGTCTGGGCAACAGAGGGAGACCCTGTCTCAACAAAAAAAAAAAAAGAAAAGAAAAAAGAAAATATGTTTAGTCTTACTGGGAAGCAAAGAAATGTCAAATAATGAGATTTTCATCGTTTGCTTATTGCTTAGCACAAATGAAAAATCTGGTAGTTCCCAGGGTTGACGATGATGTTAGAAATTGGTTATAGGAAATGGTCCTCCCATATCACTGATGGGAGGATAAATCAGTAAAATTTTTTGGAGGGCAGTTTGGTAATCTGTATCAAAATTAAATGTGCATACAATTTAGCAATCACCAATTATCTTTGGGAGGTTTGTGCAAAGGGTATATGAGGGTGTCATCACAGCGTTGTTTAAAACTGAGAATTGGAAACTGCTTAAATAGCCTCTGCAGATAGTTAGATAGTGGAAATCTGTGAAGTCAGCAAGAAGCATAATATATACTCCAATTCATTGACATAAAAAGATTCCCCCCCATATGTTGTGGACTGAAAAATCAGGTTGCAGAACACTAGGTAGACTGTCATCCAATTATATCTGTGTGTGTATGTATTTTGGATGTGAGTGTATATACTTGTCCACATAGATGCTCTCTATAATGGAAGGATGTTCATCAAAGTATTAACAAGGTATATCTCTGGGTGGTAGGATTTGGGGAGAAATTTCGCTGTCATCTTTGCATTTTAGGTATTATTTAATAATGATAAATGGGAAGACAAATTGGAAAAATAATATTGGTCATGGTTCACTATATACTGTGTAACATTTGAGTGAGAGTATTGAATGAGACATTTGAGAGGGATGTGCCTGAGAGGTATTAACGTGACTGATTTTTAGGTGATTAAGGCTGCAGAAGACAGTGCGTTGCAGTATATGAACTTCATGAATGTCATCTTTGCAGCACAGAAACAGGTGAATTGAGAGCCTACCTTTTAAAGAATATTTGTTTCATAATGAAGGAAGGAATCACTTTTATTTTTTAAATGGCCTGTTTAGAGTCTGAAAAAATTACTGGGCTAGGAATCCAGAATCCATACTGTGTACTAGTTATTCCTCTATTTTGAGTCCTGGATTGCTTGAGAACCTGATGGGTCCCCAGAACAGTGTCCACGCCAGTGCAGTTTTGCATACAGTTTCATGGTATTCAGGTAACCCTTTTGGTTCATCCTTGGACCCCACGCTAAGAATCCTGGTTTGACAGTTTGCTGCATAAACCTTGCCTCAGTTTCTCTCTCTTTACTTTAGAGAGCTGTGTAAAAATTCAGTATTTTTACTTTGTAATAACTGAAATGTTCAGATGAATTATGACAAAATACACTTTATTCTTTGATACCTTTAAAAAAAGAAAGAAAACCTTCTAAAAATTTAAGTTTTAATGTAAAAATGCTGCTGTAGCCATGTATAATATTCTCATAGAATGACAACATGATGTAATGAAAAGAGCGCAGACTTTGGAGGCAGGCAGAGTGGAGTGATGGCTTTGCCACCCGCTAGTTCTGTGACTACAGCCCACCATGTTCTGGGTATTTTAGCTGCCAGATGCAAATGAAATATGTGCTGTGCAGAGTCGTTATGCATATTAAATGAACTACTTTCCGAATAGAGACTGGGTACATAGTAGGTTCTCAGTATAGGGTACTCATTAATGTTATTATTCCTATAATATTTTCAAAATGTTCCTTTCAGA